GGGGGGTTTTCGTTGGAATGAATCAAGCTGTTGAAAGTTCACAGGGTCCAAATATGGATGTATCACTGTGTAGCACACTACCGAACTGAACAACAGCTGCGAGAAATTTAACATGAAAATAAGCACATCAAAAACAGAAACTATGAAAGTGAGCCGAAACTGTAGTCCCCTGAACATCCATGTCAATAGTAAACTACTGAAACCGGAGAAGGAGTTTATATCTTGGCAGTACTTTTTCTGAAAACGTGTCCATAGACAGAAAAATAGAAGGGCGAACTCAAAAAGCCAATGCTGTTACCTACCAGCTGCACCCCTCCTATCCCATTCAAACATCTCCATGGGCACAAAGAGACAGCGTATCACCTCAATATTCATACAAGCATTATGCTACCAGTGCCAGACCTGGACATTAAGTAAAACCCATGAAGGCAAAATCACAACATGTGAAACGAAACGTCTCACAAGACGAGACAGGCAGAGAAATGAAGAAGTAAGAGCAGCTATCGGCTTTGAGTCCTGCCTGCATAATATAGAAAGACAGAGAACAAAGTGGTTTGGCTACCTGTTACGTATGTCACCTGGCCAGCCACCTCGAGAGCCTACAACACCAAGCACTCAGGCTATAAAGGAAGAGGAAGGCCAGGCAAAAGGTAGATTGAGAGTGTCAAGGAAACCCTGAGAAAACATAGTATCACAATTGAAAGAGCTGCATAGTTGGCATACCATGGAAAACTGCATCTCCTCTCGACGCTTAACGGCAACAGAGGGTGAAAAGGTTACAGTAAAAGTAAGTACTGTGTAGCTGAACTTTTCTCGACAATTTAAAAGAAAACGAGACATCATGAAGACTAACTCACACGGTATGAGGTACGGTGGCATTTTGCCTCTAATTTCTATGAGATGGAAAGGAGAGGAAATTTAAATCTCCCGATTTCATCGTTTGTTTGTTTGTTTGTTGTTGTTGTTGTTATCGCTGTTTTGTTCGGGGGGTTTTACCCGTGGAAGAGCAGGTGACAATAGATTACTTCCTTGCGTGTGTGTTTATTTGTATTATCTTTTTAATATCATGCCACACCGAAGGAAGGTCACTTTAAAAGCGGAACACCAGGTCAGATCAAGCGGAATATGTGAGAGGCTTAGGGTGTTTTTGTGTTTTTGTTTTATGTTGTTTTGATTAGGGGTTGGGGTGGGGGGGGGGTTGCGAGGGGCGGTATTTTGTTTTGGATTTCTTTCTTTAAGTTTGAAAAACAATCCTCCTGACGGCATGCCCCATAAGATAACACCGAGGAGAGGATAAAATAGCATAGTTCCTTCTCCTGAACAGTGGATCATTATATAGCATTTAATTCCTTGCTTCTATGCTTTCAGAAACGTGTGGGGGCGGAAAGGTGTATCTTATAAACTCAGCGAAAACAACAAAGGTACCTTTCCGCGCACGAATCCCATTCACCTTTCTTTCTTTTTTTCCTTTTTCTTTTAGGTATAATGGTCTGGTAAGAGTTTTACGGCTCTCGCAACTCATCATCATCTAGTGCCAGATCTGCGACAGACATCGGCTATCATGGTTTTCCATTTCCATTCATTCCTTTGCTCGGATGCTCTAAAAAAAAGCTACGTTTCCCTGATCTTTCCCTGTTACCCATTTGTTTAGGTTCCCTAAGTATGTTGTTCTGGGCCTACCCCTGCCTCGCTTACCCTCAATTTTGCCAGTGAGAGCTAGATGTTCCAGACCCTTATGTCTGTTCATGTGTCCCAAAAACTGCATTTGTGAGGCAGCGTGGTGGAATCAGGCTCTCGTCATAATAATCAAATTGAAGAAACTTGCATTTTTCCACAGGTTTGTGCATTTTTATCTATTTTTTTATTTTTTGGTTCAACACCTTTTATGCCCATTAAAGAACTCATTTCTGTGTGGATTTTTCTGAAAAAACGTCGATTAAAGGCACAAAAAATATAAATTTTCAGTTACCACGGACTCTTCAAATAAGGGAATAACTAATCTTTGACCACCATTTTCTAACAAATTTTACCTCTGAAGACAGGTGAACCCCACCTCCTTCATTCGCAAATATCTCAACTTGTATTCAAGACAAATGGATATTTTTTCATCCAAATAAAGACAAGTGAACCAGCTTTAAGATGATACCAATAACTCTACATGCCTAAATATTGAAGAGAGCCTGATTCCACCGCGCTGCCTCACATTTGTCTTTTCCTGGTTGTTTTTAAAATTGAGCGTCCCACGTGGGCTTCATCAAGCACTACCTCATTTGATTTCTTTTCCTTCCACAGCAGTCTCCTAAGGAACCACATTTCGGCTGCTTCTGTTTTATTTTCACTATCTTTAGTGATTGTCCAGCATTCACAGCCATATAGAAGGGTTGACCAAACATAGCATTTTAGGACTTTCATTTTGGTGTTCATTGAGATGTTTCTATTTTTCAGGATTGGGCTCATTTTATTGAAACTAGACTTAGCCATTGTAGTTCTCCTTTTTATTTCAGTGGAACAACTGGCATCAGATGTTATCGTATATCATAGATATTTAAACTGTTGGACTTGTTTGATCTTTTCACCCTTGCTAATGAGATTACAACTAGGGCTTGGTGCTTTTTTTATATATTACCCTGCATTCTGTTTTCTTTACATTCAACAATAATCCTTTACGTTCACTTTCTGTTACAACAGTATCTAGAAGCAACTACATAAGGTCAAATGAGCACGCGTTCAGTGGTATAAGTTTCACACAAATAATAAGTGCATGTGTATTGTTATTTATAAACATCAAGGCCTGAGACAAAAGTTTGCTTTCACATAGGGCAATTCCAAAAATCCATTTGCCAATACGCACTTTCTGTGCCATACATCCTTCTACTGCTTTGTGATTTTTTTAACAGTATTATTTTTTAACGCACTTTCAGAGATTAGGAGGATAGGATAATTAAGTCCTTTTTGTAGAAAAAGATACATCACTATTTTCACAGCGATAAAAGGCTAAGAAATAAGCACAACAACAGAAAGAAATAGGGCCTAACAGATGAGGGGAAGAGAAACACCTAACATTAGTAAACTAAATCAAGCAACACCTGACCTGCTTGGTAGGACATTACTCATTAGAATATTAACAAAGTCCTGAAATACCATTTGATAAAATATATAAGAATATATTATATCTGTGTGTGCGTGTTTGTGTGTGTGTGTGTGTGTGTGTGTGTGTGTGTGTGTGTGTGTGTGTAATGTAATGTAATGTAAATATAGATAAAACAAAACGATAAAGTACTTACCGGAACGGAGGGTCTCCTATACTGTGAATACTTTTTTTTCAGTCTAAAGCAGAATTTGCGTTGTTATTGTAGTTGTTTTTGTTGAGAATGCAAGGAGGGAGGCAAGCACTTACAACCTAGTCAAAGCTTAAGTCCGTCTTTAATCAATTCTGTAGCGCCCTATGTTTGACCGTGATTCCGTCCGCGCTTATATATACCCGCAGCCGAGTTGCTATGACGTAATAGTTTTGTTTGGTAGGAAGTTTTCGCTCATGTGTGAATGGTTTTGGGTGACTCTCTGCTTCTATTTCTGCCTCGATCCAGTTTCCGCGGGAGTGCAAAAGTTCCGAAACTTTATGATTTTTGTCTGCTGCCCACGTGCTTCTGGGGGAGAAAAGGGTGGGTGTGGAGAGGAGGAGGGGCGAGGCGGGGTAAAAAGGTCTTTGCTTCTGCAGCTGTGTCGGCGGAGATTGTTGATTGGTGAGCGCGGGAGACGGCCGCACACACCGCGCGAGAAGGGACGAGAGATGACGAGAGTTGGGTGATGACGTGGATGTGGGTATGAGCTTAGAGGGGAACGGGTGGGTTGAGGGTGGCTATGAGATTAAATGGGGTGGGGGCAGGTTGAGGGTGGGGACAGGATGGGATGGGATGGGGGCGGTAAATACGGGGGTGGGGAATTTAAGGGGGGGGGAGGGTCTGATGTGAGAGTGTGCGAATTTCCTCCTCGACCTGATGACTCTGCGAGCAGTAAGAGTGAGACTGGCTCTAGGGCATTATGGGTAATTTGTAGGGGCTGGAACAGGGCAAGGGAAGGGAGGGACGGGACTCGTGTGGGTTGGCGCTGCCCCTACGTCATCAGAATGGGTTGGGAGAATGAAACACGTGTGTTTTACTCCTCTTTCAACACAACAGATATGAAAGCAAAGTGTTTTTCCTACTGGTTTGTTAAACAAAAGGCTTGAAAGGGACTGTTAAGTTACAGCTTTAAAATTGAGAGAATGTCTTTTCTCTAAAATATTTTCTCTGTTACAGGTGTCTTTACAGGGGCGAAAGCTGATTTTTTTAAAGGGTAATCAGAGTGAGACGATGTAGGTCATCGGGAATGGGGGTTAACAAATGCAGCTATTGCAATCGGAAAATTAACTGTATCTAAATATAAGTATGGGAAAGCAAGACATATCATAGAAATTTATGAGAGTGAATGTAGTCTCAGACAATTGTGGGCTAAGAGCTAAAGGCTAGGCTTCCAGTCTCCATCTCATGCCACTTTTGTTTCTTCCCCGCATGAGAGCGAGTTTAGTGGAAGACTGTTATATATAGCTATGTGTGTGTGTGTGTGCAAATGTGTGAGTGTGTGTTTGTGTGTGTGTGTGTGTGTGTGGTTGCGTGTGTGCGTGTGTGTGTGTGTGTGTTTACGTAATTTAATTATGCAATTTGTACTTCTTAACATCTCTTTGCCTTTATTATACTCTTAGTCAGACTTAATGGTGCCATTCGCGGTCGCGTGTCATCACATGGAGGTAGAATAGGGAAGTAATTTGATATAACATTTCCTGCACTTAATACTAACTAGTTTGTCTTTCCATTTCATTAATAGTGGCCTATAAATGTTCTATCTCTTTGGAGACGGGGACTTTTTATGCCCGTGGTGTCTGAGTTGTCGCTGGACGCAACTTCGCTTCCGGTCCTTCAGTACTGCGTGTTGCTTTTTGTGTGCATTAATGTATTGATATACTTGTGGTGAATTTGCTGATCACTCTTTAGGAAGAGGCAATCCTGTAATTCTCTGGTCGTCTAGGCATGGTTTTTCAGGCTTTTTACATGCTCCGACGACCACAGAAGTGCCTCGGGACCGGTTGCGAACGACGATAACGATAACATGTAAGCACACAAGTTAGTCTGCTTTGACTATGAAAGTTAATTTTTACGAAGATTATTGGCCACATTCCTTTCACTGTTTTGAAAATATGATAGCATAGACGTAGGGTAACAAACACACTAACGATGTCATCACTTAGAAGCGGCCCCCATGTGATTTTTCGGCCTACTTTTATTAAATGCTAGGGATGAAGATGACGAATTATTTCCAAATGTTTGGTCACTCTATGCGAGGAGTTGGGAATGAGGGTTGTGTCCTGCCCACCAGGACAGCCCGGCGGGGATCTAGAGTAAGCATCAAACAAACTTAACACTAAGACTAACACGCATGTCATTTCCTACATTGGAACATCATCATCGCCAACATAAATAATCATCCTCATGCTCACCATCACAATTACCATTACCGTCACCATCGCCAACAACATCCTCATCATCATCATCAGCATTATCATCATCATCATCATCATCATTACTGACTCAACAATTCCCCTTTCATATAACAATCTGCACCATTACTTTCTTTTTACGTAACCAACAAAAACGGGCACCAAAATCAGGACACGGGAAAGAAAAAAAAATCAGAGTGAGACAAAGAACCAGGAAGAAATGAGGCAACACACGAAAAGCTTTCCCACAATATGAATATAATTAACGGTACTTCTAATTTCAGACGGCATCACTGAGTTGTGGCTGAAACCGAATCCAGAATTCATATTTATGATTGTTCACATGCCAACATAATCGAGAAAATATCTCATTAAATAATTATATTTCCGTTATTATAATATTTTAACGCACCGGGGGAATAATGGCCTCTAGATTGTTCAACAGTTAGCCTAAATTTAACTACAGGTATGAATACACAAATAGAAGACAATGAAGCAGAGATGAAAATACTCCAAATTGTGTATTATCAATTTGGTTTCAAATCTGGCTGCCTTTTAGTTTTAGTAAAAGTTTTACGGCACTTGCAACACAAAAAGGTCATATAAGTGCCGAAAATTAGAAGTGTTACAAGGAAGTAACAAACATAAAAGAAGGAGGAGAGACAAAGGGGATAGTTGTTTGATAGGAAAGCAGGAGCAAACCACACCAGAGCATCCGCCAACTACCCACTGGCTGCGTTTGTCTAGCTTTTTGTGTCCAGGAAACCATGTCGTGATCTGTTTAAAGAGCAGTTTTTAAAAAAAGTCCTGAGAAAAAACAAGCACCCACAGCAGCCACGAGATTATTTATTGGGAGTCACCTTTTTGAAGCAGACTCAACCAATCCAATTGTTTGCTTACATTATAATCAGTGCTTGTGACTGCTTATTGGAGTGACCCGAAAGGGGTGAACATATGTTATTTATGTTGCAATGAAACTGCTTTGAGTGTTGCGCACATGGCTCAAATTTAAATTAGTTAAATTTATAATGCCTACTTCTATGGGTGTGTTTGACGGAGTACCGAAAGGAAAGGGTGATTATTCGATTATGTAGACGCCCTGACCCCGGTTTTTAATGCTTGCTAAGTTTTTGAAAAGATATGAGAAAGAAAGGTGGAACTCATTTCTGTTTTAGACTCAATATTATAATGCCGTAATTAATCGTATTATGCTTACCTTAACGCTAACAGAGACTGGTCGTTTATGCAAAAGTGATATTTCAACTGATCCACTAGACCGTGTTTTCTTTCTTTGCTTGATGAGAGATAATTCCAGTGCTGCTTTGAGACGGCATCATTGTACAGACAAATCTTGAGTACATTAATATAATATATAATATATGTA